TAAGGGGAAAGGGGATATAAAAAAAAATTTTCCAAAACGGGTGTAAAAAAGGGTTTGGGCTGGGGAAATTCAAAAATTTAAAAAGTTAAAAAAAAGGGGGGAAAACGGGAAATTTGGAACGGGGTTCATTTGGAGGGGTTAAAAGGAAAAAGGAAAATAGGATGAAAGGGGAGGGATTTATGAGGTAAAAAAAAAAAGGAAAAAAAAGTTTAAAAAAAAGGGAAAGGGGGAGGGGGAAGGGTTGGGGGAAGGGGAAAAGAGGGGAAAATAAGGTGAGGGGCAAAAAGGACTAAAGAGGGGGGGAAAATTGGTTTTGAGTAAAGGGGGGGGTTGGGGCTTTTTTAAAAAGGGAGTTGAAATTGGGGAATTGTTTTAAATTAATTTTTAAAAGGGATAGGTTTTTTTTTTTTTCGGGGCCTTTTTTTTCCCCGGGGTGGGGGTCTTCTCTTTTGCCTTTTTGGGGGCTTCTTTCCCCCGGGTTTTTTCCCCTCTTTTCTTTTTTTTTTCCTCCTTTTTCTTTTTTCTTTCTTTTCCCCCCCTTTTTAAAAAAAGGGGGGGAAAAGCGTAAAGGGAAAAAAAAGAGGTGTGAGGGGGGGGGGGACAGGGAGAGGGGAAAGTGGGGGAATGGTGTCCCAAAAAGTGGCAATGTGGGTGGGGGCCTATGGGAATTAGGGGGTGTGACTTGAAAAAAGGGGAGGGAGGTGCAAAAGTGAGAGGGGAGGAAGGGGTCCAGGAGGGGGTTTCCCCAGGAGAGGGGGTTTCTTCGAGGGGGGAAGGGTGTGGAGAGAAGGGGTTTAGACAGGGGGGGTGGTCCAAGGGAGAAAGGTAAGGGAAAAAGGGGTTTTAGGGCATTGGGGGGGATTAGGGGGATTGGGAAATGGTAATAAAAAAAGGAAAGCTTAATCATAAAGTATCAAAACCCGAAAAGTGGGCAAAAAGGAAAAAAAGTTGCAATTTGAGTTGGAAAATTGGGAATGCAGGGTTGAAGGGGAAAGGGGCGAGTGATCAATACGGATTAGTATGTATTACTGGAATTTGAGGGTGGTAAAAAAGGAACCCCGAAGCCTTTGGGAATGGGGGGAAAAAAAAGAGTATTGTTAAAATTGTAACCGGAAAGGGATTTTTCGGGGAAAAGGTAAAGGAAAAATTTTAAAAGGGGGGGTTCTAGGGAAAAAGAAAAAGGGGGGGGGGGATTTTTGGGAGGGATTCCCCCAATATTGGGGGTGTGTTTGGAGGGGGGGTGTTTAAAAATTAAAGGGCAGAAGGAGGAAGTTGGGGGGGGTACCCCAAAAGAATGGGGGGGGGATTTTGCCCCCCAAAAGGGGGGGGGGGGGGGGGGAACGGATGGATGGAAATTGACAAGTGATGGAAAATTTGATAGAAAATAAAGATCTGGTGTGCCTGAATGATGGTCGAGGGACTAGGATTGATGTAGCCACAGGGAAAGAGTCTGCCTTGGTCCTCACTCTGGTATCTAGTGCGATGGCAGGAATATGTGAGTGGGAGGTATGGGAGGAGTCGACAGTAGGGAGTGATCATTACCCCATAGTATGCACAGTAGGCCGGAGGGAGGAGGAGGTGTTAGTGGATGGAGTAGGCAGGTGGGTGTTTGGAAGGGCAAAGTGAGATCAGTTTCAGGAGCTCAGTGAGCAGGTGATGGTTCGGGTGGATAAGAGAGGGGATGTGGATAGTATGAATAACTGGGGGAGAACAGCGTTAGTGGGGGCAGCTACTGAGGCTATACCTAAGAGTTCAGGGAGGAGGAGGAGGAAAGCAGTCCCATGGTGGACGGAGGAATGTGGGGCAATGGTGAGGATTAGGAACAGGGCATTTAGAGTACTGAAAAGGACGCATAATTTCCAACATCTGATTCAATATAAGCAGGCCCAGGCCATGGTGAGGAGAACTATCCGTCAGGCAAAGAGGTCATGTTGGCATCGGTTCTGTGACACCATTGGAAGGGCAACACCTGTGGGAGAAGTGTGGGGGATGATTAAGAGGATGAGTGGGATCAGAAGGGAGTGGGATTATCCAGTGTTGACGAGTGGGGAGGATGCGGCAGTAACAGATGAGGAGAAAGCAGAGATGATGGTCAAAGTATTTGTTCAAGTGCATAGCTCCGCAAATCTGTCAGAGGAGGGGCAGAGGGGGAGAGAGAACACGAGAGAGGAGCATCCTGGAGTGCTGGAAAGAAGGGAGGATGTAAATGATGCGTTGAGTGCACCATATACCAGGGCAGAGGTGAAAAGAGCAATAGGTAAGTGAGGGTTAACTTCACCTGGGAAAGATGAGGTGTCCCATCTTAGTGATGAGGCACTGGATAAGGTATTGGTGTTGTACAACAGTGTGTGGGAAGAGGGGAAACTACCAGGCAGTTGGAAGGAGGCAGTAGTGGTACCAATCCGGAAGCCCGGGAAGGATCCAACGAAGCCAACAAGCTATCGGCCAATAGCTTTAACATCACATGTATGTAAGATTATGGAACGTATGATCACGGAGAAGCTAACTTACTTCCTGGAGAGCAGAGGGCTAGTAACGCCACATCAGAGTGGGTTCAGGAAGGGTAGGGGAACTATGGATCCAGTGCTCTGCTTAGAAGCAGAGGTCAGGAAGGCTCAGGTGAACAAGGAGACTGTTGTAACTGTCTTTTTTGATGTGGAGAAGGCATATGATATGATGTGGAAGGAGGGGTTGTTAATCAAGCTAGATATTATGGGGGGTAGGAGGAAGAATGTACAACTGGATAAAGGATGTCCTGTTTGGAAGGTCTATCCAGGTGAGGGTGGGGAAGTCTTTATCAGGCAGCTACTTGGTGGATAACGGTACACCGCAGGGGAGCGTGATTAGTCCTCTGTTGTTCTCAATCATGATCAATGATGTTTACTCTCAGGTATAGCCGGATATAGGGAGGTCGTTATTTGCAGAGGATGGTGCCTTATGGAAGAGGGGAAGTAATGTGCCATACATAGTCAGGAAGGTGCAGGAAGCAATTGATGAGGTAGAGCGGTGGGCACTAATGTGGGGATTCAGGTTCTCTGTAGAGAAAACTCAAACAGTGTTCTTTACCAGGAAGAAGGTGGGAGATGAGGTATGCTTGAGGTGATATTGGA